AAAAAAAAAAAAAAAAGATAGTGCTCTACCACTTGAGCCACAGTACCACTTCCAGATTTTTCTGCTAATGTGGTGCTGAGGAATCGAACCCAGGGCCTCATGCATGCAAGGCAAGCATTCTACCACTGGGCCACCTTCCCAGCCCCAAATTCCAAAATATTTTAACAACCTAATTAAGCCAAACTATCAAATATCAAAAAATATCAAATATCGAAAAATTATTAGACATCCATTTTTAACTGAACTGTTACTAAGCTAACTGGAACATTAATATACCAACAGTTATAAGTCTAATCTGTACAGTTTATCAAATCTTAGAAAAAAGTACCAAGGGTACTCTGAGGTCAATAAAGCAGAACTAAGGCCACTCCAGTGCCATTTGCTGTTAAAAAAAAAATCTTAGGAAAAAAATTTTAAATGTCTAAAGTTGTGACAAAATGCTGAGTCAAGTATTGTTTGAAATAATGTAGACAAACAGCTAAGTTGAAACTTCTGCAAAAATGTGGTAAAATACCATTATACTTACTTAGGAAAATTCCCATGCAGTCCAATATATATACCTGTGAAATTACACTGGTACCCACTGATTTTTCAAAAACCCATGAATATACTCTTTAAATACTTTTACTTCCACTGCAATATATAATGAATTAATTTTCTACCTTTATCACTTTCTAGGAACAAAATTATATATAGATTAACTTTTGTACTCACAAGCAGAGACATTTAGAGTAAGAAATAATCAAAATTTGGGCTGGGAATGTAACTTAGTAGAATGCTTGCACGCATGATGCCCTAGGTTCTATTCCACAGCACCACATAAGGAGAAGCAGCTGGAAGTGGTGCTGTGGCTCAATTGGCTGAGTGCTATCCTTGAGTAAAAGTAGCTCAGGGACAGCACCCAGGCCCTGAGTTCAAGCCCCAAGACTGGCAAAAAAAGAATAATCAAAAATTTATCCTAGCTGGCAATCAGTGGCTCACATCTGTAATACTACTCAGAAGGTTGAGTGAGGGGCTGGGAAGGTGGTTCAGTGGTATAGAGTGCTTGCCTTGCATGCATGAGGCCCTGGGTTCGATTCCTCAGCACACATAAGCAGAAAAAACAGAAGTGGCACTGTGGGTCAAGTGGTAGAGCGCTAGCCTTGAGCTAAACAGCTGAGGGACAGTGCCCAGGCCCAGAGTTCAGGCCACACAACCCACAAAAAAAAAAAAAAAAACAGAACAAGAAGTACAAGAAGAACAAGAAGAAGGTTGACTGTAAAAATAAAACTTCACTTCAAGTAATGGTAGAGCAAACAATACCTGGCAGAACTTAAATTTTTAAAAGAATGTTATTAAGCATATTCTTACATAAAAGGATCTATTTCTGGATTATATTGCTTCATTCCAGTATTATTTTATTCATTAACCTGCACCACACCAGCTTTAAGGCTTTATTTAGTTTCGCTTCCTATTCTGCTAACCCATGAAATTAATAATGCTTCTTATCCTTTGTTCAGATATTTGTCCTTAACTGTTCTATATAAATCCTCAAGTACGGGTTGGGAAGGTGGCTCAGTGGATGAGAGCTTGCCTTGTATGCCTGAGGCCCTGGGTTCGATTCCTCAGCACCACATAAGCATAAAGAAAAAAGCCGAAAGTAGCGCTGTGGCTCAAGTGGTAGAGTGCTAGCCTTGAGCTGAAGAGCTGAGGGACGGCGCCCAGGCCCAGAGTTCAAGCCCCACAACCGGACCCAAAAAAAATAAAATAAAATAAATAAATAAAGCCTCAAGTTCCCAAAATAATCTATTTATATTTCAACTATCATGCAGCCAAACCAATAAATTCATAGTCAATATAACTGCAACATGCAATCTTCCTTTCTGAGAACAGAGAATTATCTTTTCCTTCCTTTAAATTGTTCTACTTCAGAATTAACAAAGCATATTAGTATTTACACTGTTGACAGTAATTGTCAGGAAAGCAATGACGTATACTTGCTTGCCTACCTCCTCCAATTTAAACAGTTAAAGAACATTTAGCTCTAGCAATGATTAATGATTACCTCTACTGGTGTTGTTTCAGGAATCTCTCTGAGAATTACGATACAACGCTTATGACTTGGTCTCACCTTCTCACCCTTCTCATCAACTTGTACCATAGGAGAAGCTGAAATTTTAAAAAGTTGGAGTGTCATTTTTCATAAGTGACAAGGAACAATATCAAGTCAACATAAAGAATTGTTATTAAAACTCAGCGCCTCACCTCAGTATATTCACTCTATTATACTACTACATGACTCAAAAGCTGCTGGGCAGTGCTGGGAAGGTATCACAGTGGTAGAGTGCTTATCTTGAATGCATGAGGCGCTGGGTTTAATATCTGAGCACCACATAAACAGCAAAAGCCAGAAGTGGCTCAGTGGCTCAAGTGGTAAAGCGCTAGACTTGAGCTGAATTGCTCAGGGACAGCACTCGGGTCCAGAATTCAAGATCCACAACCGACCAACAAAAAAAAAAGCCACCAGGCCTAGTGGCTCAACGCCTGTAATCCTAGCTACTCAGGAGGCTGAGATCTGAGGATTGTGGTTCAAAGCCAGCCCAGGTAGGACAAAGTCCGTGAGACTCTTATCTCCAATAAACCACCAGAAAACCAGAAGTGGCACTGTGGCTCAAGTGGTGAGCGCTAGCCTTGAGCTGAAGAGCTGAGGGACAGCGCCCAGGCCCAGAGTTCAGGCCCCAAGACTGACTAAAAATAAAAACAAAAAATAAAAAACAAACAAAAAACCAGCAACTCAAAAGCCATCTTTAGATGCTGATTTAGTGAAAATAGTCAATAATATACAGCCACATTTTTATTTCCAGCTCCTTCAGGCAGCTAATATGTCATATTCCCTTGAACAGGTAAGTAGAATAAAAAGCAGACAAGGGTGAAGTGCGAATATAACTGCTAAGTTTTAACCTATACAAAGAAGGCCATTTATTTGTCTCTTTGCCAATTTTCTTTCTTTATTTTTTTTTTGAGGTCCGGTCATGGGCCTGAACTCTGGGCCTGGGTGCTGTCCTTCAGCTCTTCAGCTCAAGGCTAGCACTCTACCACTTGAGCCACAGCACCACTTCCAACTTTTTTCTTTTTGCTTATGTGGTGCTGAGGAATCGAACCCAGGGCCTCTGGCATGCAAGGCATGCGCTCTACCACTGAGCCACCTTCCCAGCTCCATCTTTGCCAATTTTCTATGTAGATAAGACTGGGCCATTTAAATACAAACCAATTAGGAATCCCATAAACTGGTGTAACCTGCTATAAATTGAAATCCTCTACTCCCAAATGTCTATTACCATAGTTAACTTTTAAACATTTTGAACATATTTCAAATAAGTGAAGATCTCTCTTTTAATTTAACCAAATACTTAATAAAACCCATTTAAAAGAGGCTACCAAGAAATATTAACACAAGACACTAACATTAAAAACTCTGAGAGCTTCAATCAAGAAACAAATTTTTAGCCAGCACTCAAGAGACTAAGCAAGAGTATTACAAGTTAGAGGTCAGCCTGAACTACACTGTGAGCATGAAGCCAACCTCGGCTATTTAGCTCAATTAGCATAGCACTTGGGTTCAAACCTTAATAGAAAGAGAAGAGAGAGGAAGGGAAGTAAGTCAAACTGGGGAAAGAAGGAAACAAGCAAAATTTTTAGCAAATGTGAGGTCAAATTATAGGTCCCATTTCTAATAAGTTATGAAAGATAAAAGAAAATATGTAGGGACTAGGAGGGTGGCTCAGTGGTAGAGTGCTTGCCTTGCAAGCTCAAAGCCCTGGGTTCCATTCTTCAGTACCACATAAGCAGAAAAGGCCAGAAGTGGTACTGTGGCTCCAGTGATAGAACGCTAGCCTTGAGCTGAAAAGCTCATGGACAGAGACCCAGGCCAAGTTTAGGCCCCATGACAAACCAAAACCAAAAAAAAGAAAGAAAGAAAACACTATCTTACTAGCTACTCAGGAGTATGAAATCTATGGATGGAGATTCAAAGAACAGCCTGGAGTAGCCAAATCTGTGAGACTCTTATCTCCAATTAAGCAGCAAAAAGTCAGAAGCAGAGGTATGGCTCAAGTGGTATAACATCAATTGTAAGCAAAAAAGCCTAGTGAGAGTTTGTGGTCCTGAGTTCAAGCCCCAGTGCCAGCACCAAAAAAAATAAATAAATAAAGTTTGAAATCGATTAATCTTTAAGTGGTGTTAAAATGACGTTCTTTCTAATAGTATTCTAACATACTATGAAAACAAGATTTAATTTCTTATACTTACTATCTTGCTATGCAAACATGAAAATCAAGAACCACCAAGTACAGAATACAAAATACACATGCACACATCCATATGTACATGTGCCAAGCAGTCAACTAACCAAAATAATTACTAGAACAAAAGGAAAAAATAAAAATTCAAATTAAAACAATTCCTTATATGATCAAAGAGCAAAATAATATGGTAACTTCTCATTCACATACATCTCAATACTTCAAGAATTAAATCAAGATCTGTGGTCAACTTTTTTATTTCTTCCATGTTGGCAACTGTCCAAATTGGGATGAACTGATCACTATCCATTTGAGATATCAAGTAAAGATCCTTCGACAAATTTTCTCTGAAATAAAGAAACAGAAAGTAATATAACAAACAAATTCTAAAAAGGCAACTAAAATGCACCTTATTATTTTCACTATGTCTAGGGAAACAAAAACATGCTTTTAGAAAAAACACATTAGTCTGGTGCCAGTGACTCATGTATGCAATCCTAGTTCAGGAGACTGAGATCTGAGGATCACGGTTGAAAGCCAGCCCAGGCAGGAAAGTCCATGAGACTCTGATCTGCAACTAACCAAATGAAAACCAGAAGGGGTGCCATGGTTCAAAGTGGTACAGTGCTACCTTGAGCAAAAAAGCTCAGAAGTCCTACAAACAACAAAAAGTAAAAATAAAATATGTTTTACAAACTTTTGAATTCCCAGAAGCCGGGTGCTGGTGGCTCACGCCTGTAATCCTAGCTACTCGGGAGGCTGAGATCTGAGGATTGCGGATCAAAGCCAGCCAGGCAGGAACAACTGTGAGATTCCTATCTCCAATAAACCACTAGAAAACTGGTGCTGTAGCTCAAATGGCAGAGTGCTCGCCTTGAGCTGAAGAGCTGGGGGACAGTGCCCAGGCCCAGAGTTCAAGCCCCATGACTGACAAAAAATAAATAAAACGAAGTTTTGAATTCCCAAATGTATTTGGTCCAATAGCTTGGACAAAGAATTTTATGGCGGGGCTGGGAAGGTGGCTGAGTGGTAGAGCGCCTGCCTTGCATGCATGAGGCCCTGGGTTCAATTCCTCAGCACCACATAAGCAAAACTAAAAAAGCTGGAAGTGGTGCTGTGGCTCAAGTGGTAGAGCGCTAGCCTTGAGCTGAAGAGCTGAGGGAC